GTATTTTCAATATCATATATTATATTATAACGCCCCCGGCCGCTGGACCACTTTGCTCTAGTCAGGGATATGGGACCCCCTCCCCCGTCGGGCAAATCCTGGCGCCACCTAAGTCGATAAAAAAAATCTCCGTTGTGTCGTTGAACTCATATGCTATCTGTTGATATCGGTTGCACTGTAGAAATATTATGTTTGAGCAGGGAGCAGGGTTTGAAGATCTGCCATCAATGATCCCTCCTTGTTTTGCAAACCCAACGCAACATCACTTTTTCATCTCATGTCATTTCGAAGAACATAAAGTCCTGAAAAAAGTAATAACATTGAAAAGTATCATTACGGTAACTTAAGGTTATCGGAAATTATGAGTTATACACATAACATCAATTCTGTTTCTGTGGCGAAAGCATACCATAAGAAAACTTGCACCAATCAGCAAAGTCTTCCCAATAACGTCAAGATTCGATGGAACTGTAACAAAACGACAGACAAATAAAGCATGCACGTGGTATAAAATATGAAAATATGAAGATAACATATTGCGCAATAAAAAATAAAAAAATAGATAAGCCGTACTAGTCTAATATATAATAGAAAATAAAACTCAGGATATTCAGTACTTTTATGACTAGTTTATTTATGATTATATTGCGCAATGACATCGGAAAGTTTATTTCATTTTATAGTTGCAGAAAAAACACACAGGTACACCCTTACAATTTATAATGAACTGTTCGTGATCAACATTCAGGGTATCCTTTTTTCCTCGCCACTGTTTCTTTATTGCACCCTCTTCCTCCGTTTCTAATGCAAACACCTATAAATGATAAATATTATAATTATTATACAATTATAATAGATATTTTTAATGATTATCAAAATGAGAATAAGGATAGATAAAATATACATATAAGAGTGCATTATATTCATCATAATGTACTCAATAAATAATAATCTGATTATAATATATGCCTACAAATAAGTATAATTTAATGGTTTACTTTAAATTCCATATCACGGAAACATCGACAAGGACAGCAAGATGTGACAATTTCCAAAATTGGCTTTCCATCGAATGTTTCAACAACAACCTTTGCCCCAAACAATTTCCACCTAAAAAAAAACCAGATAACTTGATTTTTTAGATGTGATTGGGAATTTTCATTTCAATATTCATAATCTATGTTTCAAATAATAATTTATATTCTTCACTATTATAGTACTATTTTATATAGTACTATCTAACGTTGTCATTATTCTGTTTTTCTAATAAAATACAACATTGATCATCTTCTGTATGTAACCCGCATACAATATATCTCTATTGATCCCACATGGGGCAATTCAATAATTAGGATTACAAAGCTTAAAGAGTTTTAGAGACAATTATGTATGTTTATTGCTCACTTTTGTTTGACATATCCCAACACTTCTCCATCTGGTGTCTGTATCATGAGTCGCATCATACAGCACATACAGCAGCATCCATCGCACCGGACCGGCCGCACGAATCGCACTATCTCCTGTCCGTGCTTATTTTGCAAGTAGATGTTGAATGATCGTGCTGGACCGCATAGGCATCTACAGCAACATGTCGTTTCTATTATAATGCAATAGTTAATGTGTTAATGTTGGACCACTTAAACCGTAGATGAGCAATGCTTTCGGTTAACAACTTCCTATTACTGTATTTAATAACTGTTTCTATCTATTCCCATTTGTTTACAGTAAATAATATCAATCTATCACTTCGATGTAGCCTACGTCATAACTTATGCCGAAATTGATCCATCTAATCTTGAAGCGAATGCAATCATCCTGATGTCCGGGTAGAATTTTGTAGGTCTAAACCTTATTGATTCAGACGGTTGTGACGTGAGAATGAGCTCGACTATCAATCGACACTCAACACAATGACACAAACATAGAAAAAGTAATGTTACCTTCAGTAGCGAAGAATACCTGTTGTTTCGTTTTATTTAAGATACGATATTCATTGTCTTGGTTACACCCGACGCCTAAAGATAATGAGAAACGTAATAATGATAGGCAACACATACATTCACTTGCTACCAATGTAAACAAAATCTAAGATACACTGTCTGTGGAAAATTATCTTTACAATATAAAATAAAACATTAAATAGCTTATTACAAACATTTTTCTACAAAAAAAAAAACTTCTTTAAATTGATTTTTC